GGGGTTCTGTTCTAGGGCCTTGAGACAGCTCAAAGAGTCAGTGAAGATTACAGCCTTATTAATGTTATGTGTCTGTATATATATACAGGCCTCTAGAATGGCTACACACTCACCTGTGAATACAGAGGATTCCTTTGGGCATTTGAATTTTAAAATTATTTTAGAATTTTGATAATAAACAGCAGAACCAGTGACATCCTCCTGTGACAGTTTTGAGGCATCAGTGAAGAATCTCTGGAAATCATGCCATTTTATATTTGTCAAGGCATTAAAGGCTGCTTCAGAATTAGGATTGCCCTTGGATATGAAAATGTTTGGTTTAAAACATAATACCTCTAATTCATAGTTAAACAAGGGGAGCCTCTCGAGACTGATTAAGGGACACTCTATGTTTTCAAAGGAGTGGAAAGCTTTTAAAATGAAAGGTATATCCTTATGTTTCCAATACTGAGTAGAGTTTATAAGGGAATTTAGAAACTTTATTTTTTGAATAAGGGGATGGGTATTTCTGCATACTAGACGGAATATAAAACGCGTTGCCAAATATTGCCTTCTTAATTCTAAAGGGGTTCAGCACATTCAACTTGTAATGCATTTATAGGAGAAGATTTCATGCACCCAGTAATGATCCGAAGACACCTGTCCTGAACCCTATCAAGGCTCGTAAGGGCCCCTTTCTTGCAGGGCCCCTCCATTACACTGCGGATAAGGGCGTTATAGATCAGCTTCATGGTGTATGGGTGAGCTCCCCACCACACACCAGCTAGAGCTTTCAAAATAGGGATGACTCGTTCACACCTTTTGACCAAGTAGTTAAGGTGGTGATTACCTGTCATTTTATGGTCCAAGTATACACCCAAAAACTTTGCCTTTGTATCCACAGGGATGTTATGTCCTTGAATGTTTATATCTATCTGGGGAATGACCCTCTTCCTTGAAAATACAACTATTATGCTTTTTGATGCAGACAGGTTCAGTCCATAATCAAGCAACCACTGGTTTAAAGATTCCAGAGAAATTGATAGGGATGTGGTAGCGTCAGTAATGCATTGGTTCGTCACATATAGAGCCAGGTCATCAGCATACTGTAGTATGTGGCAATTGTTGTTAAGGGATGAACTTAAATCTACAGTATATAAGTTGAACAACAAAGGGCTTAGAACGGAGCCTTGCGGTAAGCCTTTCCATACCCTTCGCTGCCCGAGCTCTTCCCCTTGGGCCCTGAGAGTCAGTGAGCGTGACATAGTGATTTGACATATGCTATGTACCATTCTTGCTGAGATTCTCAGCTCTTGCAATTTTTGCCTGAGGATCGGAAGAAGGACGTTGTCATAGGCTGAAGTTATGTCGAGGAATGCCGCGACTACCGAGTCATTTCGGGATAGGGATATTCGGATATCTGTGGTGAGTATTGCAACGCTATCCATAGTGCTGAGTCCTTTTCTAAACCCGAATTGGGAGCTTGGAAGTAAATCTCTAGACTCCACAATCCATTCCAACCGATTTTTAAGCAGGTGCTCGAAGATTTTTAGCAGGACTGATGATAGAGCGATTGGTCTGTATCCATTTGGGTCGTCTGAATTTTTGCCTGGCTTTAAAATTGGGATGATTATTTGTTCTTTCCACTGATTGGGGGACTGAACCGCTTTCATAGCAGTAGTTTATTATTTTAAGGAAATATTCCCTTGCTTTGCTCCCAAAATGGGTAAGGAAGGAGTACGGTATTCCATCAATCCCAGGAGCTGAGTCCTGGACATGATCAAGCACCATATCTAGTTCCTGAGAGGAGAATGACAAGTCAGATGTTTCTAAATCCAAGCTGGGTGGCACACATTCACTCTCTTCTATAGAGGGTACGTAAGAAGGAGCTATTTTATCAAAAAACAGTTCAGCTGTCTCGCGGTTCATAGGAGATGAGGTTCTGGGAGTGCATCCCGATCTAAACCTATTTATACTTTTCCATACTATTGATGGAGGAGTAGATGGTGATAAGGATGTGCAAAACCCGACCCACCCTATTCGTTTTTTCTGTCGTAGCAGCCTTTTGCACTTAGCCTGAACTTGTTTATAAGACAGTAAGTTATGGGTGTTCATGTTTCTGTTATATCTCTTCTCTGCCTCCTTCCGCTCCCTGACAGCTCTAGTGCAATCCTGATCCCACCACGGCGGTGACGCTATTTTACCCCGAGCCGAATTTTTTAGGGGAAAGGTTAGCTCTGCACATGAGATGATGGCGCTAATGAGATTCTCCAGACAGTTCTGTACATGGCAGTGATTAGATAGACTCGGGCTTTGAAGATCTGAATTTGGAAAAGCGTTTACTCTATCCTCCAATAAATCAGTGTACTTAGACCAGTCTGCATTAGTTAGGTTGAATTTTAATAAAGGGGGAGGGCTTTTTTCTAAGAAAGTTTTACCTGAAATTGAAATAACTATGGGATAGTGGTCACTGCCATGTGACAGGTCTGAGCAATACCATTGAGCAGCAGTAGCTAAATCAGCTGAACAGAATGTGAGATCCACACAGCTTTTGAGTTGACCAGGCAGAGATCGGCGGGTAGGACAGCCATTATTAAGTATGACATAGTTAAGGTCATCTATGATCTCCACCAAGCCTTCCCCAAACGCATTACACCGTTCAGAGCCCCACCTATAATGATGACTATTGAAGTCACCCATTATAATCACTGGCCCATTGATATTCTGAAATATGCCTTTTATAGTAGGTAAGAGATTTCTATGAGGATGAGCAATATAAATAGATATAAGCGTAATACCTTCAACTTTGCAGGCAACCATATTTATGTCATCAATAGTGGTGGGCAGAGCAACGATAGATTGCGAGACTCTATTATTAATGAGGAGAGCTGACCCTCCATAAGCATCCTGTCTATCGCATCTGAGAGTATTAAAGTGTGGCACACTAAAGTTAAGACATGGTTTTAGCCAAGTCCTCTGTGATAGAGCAAGCAACAGGCGTATATTTATTTAAGAGGAATGTAAGGTCATGCTTCTTATGAAACACGCTCCTCACATTCCATTGAAGAAGTCTCAGCTGTGGAGCCATTTTTAAGATTGAGTAAAAGTTTAATAATTTTTTCAGCAACGTTGGACGGTGAATTAGGGATATTAGGGGACATAAAGGATTTTACAATTTCAATAAACAATTCAATAATTGGTGGTGTTATTAGATTGGAAATGGGTTGGATATTTGTGTTAGAAAGGCCACAGCCATTTGGCTGTGTGGATAAGGGAGTGCTAGTGATGTTATATTGAGCAGTTTTGTCATAGGATGGTGCAAGAGGAGCGTGGGATCTAGGTTTAAGCAAAATTGTTTTGCGATGTGATTCGGTGGGTTGACTTCTAGCGGCATTGGCATAGTTGCGGGACGTAGCAGGTATCAGTTTACTTGCTTCTATGTAGGATATGGCTTTTTCAACCATAGATGTCTTAATTGCCCGCTGCCTTCCATACTCCGGACAGTCCTTACTGTTAGCGAAATGACTCCCGGAGCAAAGAATGCAGAAAGCATCTGCCGCAGCAACAAAACAACCGCTACCTGGGTGGTCAAGCCCGCACTTAAGGCAACGGGGCTTAGACCTGCAGGCTGCCGCAACATGACCAAACCTACAGCATTTGTGGCATTGGATGGTTGGGTATATATACTGCTGTACAGGGAGAGATGTGTAACAGCAATACACTCTCTTGGGAAGTGTCTGACCATCAAAGGTTATGACGCATGTTTCAGTGGGTTTCCAGTGGGTGACTTCATCTATTGTAACTTTGCGATTTATTCGTCTGATTTTTAGGATGCGGCCACAGCCTGAGGGTACAGATATATAATCCATTGCCTCTTCCTCAGTCAAGTCAACTGGCACCCCACTAATGACACCCATTCGTGTGATATTAAAAGATGGTATGAAGGCATTAAATTTATTTTTTTTGTAAGATGGGATTGTTTAGAAAGGCATTGGCATCTTGGGCAGACGAGAACTCGATAGACACTCGATTCCGACCAACTCTTTTAATTCCGTCTTTAATTATATTACTTATTTTGTTTTTGTATAAGAGTATGAAGATGTATGTTATATAAGAGTTCTATCCGCGAAACATGCACAATGAATGAAGTTTTATCTTCTGCTGTATAATAGTCTCGAGCTACTTGGCTCTTCGATTGTTTAGTGGGACGACTAGAAGAGGATTCTTCCTCAACTGGACGTTTCCGGTTTTGAGCGTCAGGAATACTGCAAACCACTTCTGCAAACTGTGTCAATGGGTTTACTGAGGTAAGAGGAGCGGTAGGAAAGATTGGGGGAGAGGAAAAAGTAGGAGTTGGAGGTGAATTATCATCAGGAGGGTCGGGGGGTTTTTCTTTACCCATTGCTAATGAATGTCTTCATATAAGACAATATATATTATATTAAAACGTCACAATACCTTATCCCGGTTAGTACTACAATATATATACACAAGAAGTCACAGATTTGGTCCAATGATCACAAAAACACTTAATATTCGTAAACTTTCAAGGCACACGTGCTATCCAAACACACGATAACTTGACAGTCGTATCTATGGTCATGAATAAAAAAATAAAAAATAAATAAAAAACATCTGTCAAAGTCAATACTGTCATGTTGGGTGTTTTGTAGAATGTATACATTTACTATATTCCATCAAGAATATTTAAAAAAACATTATTCATAAACTCTTTATCAATCCTCCCACGCAAATCCTATATCTCTAGCGTTTAGGTTCCTGTAATTCAGATAGCAAAACCATTTCGTCGACATAGTGCGACATTAATCAGTGCTAGAAATATTATCTTGTCCTAATATTATCCCATTATGAACAGTATTACTACCATATGTCTCAATTTATTCATTTTAGTGTTCATATTAAATATTAGAATATGTCTTGGACTGTATAATAAACCATGGACCGATAAATATGAGAATAATAAATGCTCCAAACTATACCCAAAGAATTTCTTCAATTACATGCCAGTTGGTAAGTGTTTTCGGTTTCACACCGGAAAATATTTTCTTTAATGTGATTTAATTTTGTAAATAGCCGCAGATTGTTAAGAGTGTTAAAAACTTTGAATGTATGAAATTAAACATACATTAATGAAAATAATAAGACTGTGAGGAATATTTACAGATAAAATGATAAACCATGTGCTCTTAAAGAATTTTATAATAAATATTTCTTATACATTTTATTACAACAAGTCTGAAATAAAAAAATATATAAATGTAATACTGAAAACAAAGAAAATATAATATTTTTTTCATAGGTAATCTGACAGCTGGCAATTACACAGAAAAGATGGGGTTAAAAGGATTGAAACAATGTGTGATGGAATGCTGTCTAACAGAATCCTGTAATATAGTTTTCATATATGATGCTAGATGTTTCCATGTAGAGTGTGTCAGCGACGAGCTGTGTTTGCCGCTGCAGAGGTCTGACACCAGGAAATGGGAATCAACAGTCTCAATGATCCTAGTTAAACCTGTCTTGCCCAATGGTCAGGATTCTTTTTTTATCTTATTTATTTAAAATTAAACAGGAATAAAATAACAGTAATTCATATAGTACCTATATTTTGTTGATTATTATTAATTTGCAATTCTTACACTACTACATTACAGTAAATACTATCTACACTGATATTTTCATACATATCAGATATCAAAATTAGTTACAAGAATGATATGTATGATGTGGTAGTGGTAGTAATAAAACTGCTTGAGTCCATGTATGTAACATGCAAGTTGTGTATGGCTATGTACTATTCCAATCTAATCAACTGACTGTATTGCTTAAAAGTCTCAAGAAGTCACATTGCTCCCATAAATTATCCAGCTATGAAGTAGTTAGTTAGTAAGTTAGATGATATTTGAATGTGGAATATTTCATTATATCCAATAAATCAACCACTTGTTACAGAAAATTGGTCAGATATCCTAGACCAATCCAATTACAGACAAGTTAACAACAATTTTTCACCTGAAGAAGAATCTATGTATTCCCCATATACAAGCCACAGGAATGATCTAATTACTGATGATGATGAATCAGCATTTTTAGCCCGTTTCCTGAACAATCTTCCAATGGATGATGATGACAGACCTTATGATAAGTATAGAGATAATACAGACAGTGATATGATAATGGATACATCCAGATATCTAGAAAAAATACCATGTGAAGTATCGGAGGACTGTCCACTGAATGCTGCTTGTGTACCCTTCAGCATGAAAATGCGTAATGGAATTTGCAAATGCATTCCTGGGACTGAAGAAAATGGTCAGGGTGTATGTGAACCAATAAGACCTTTTTCGAAAGGGCCAACAATACAAGTGGACCCAATAAAAAAACTGGATGAAGCTGATGTAAAAAGTGATGCCTTAAAAACAGAAACAACTTCACAGAAAACTGTACAACCCTTGACAGTTTCAATATTATCTAAACAGGTAATTTAAACATTTTTTAATGTAAAGTGTCCGTGTGGTGACAAATTAAGAATACGGAGGGTCACCACCCTTATTCATCCCGTGGGTGTCATAAGAGCCGCCTAAGGGAGATAATGCTAGGCACTGCAAAGTAAAGAAAAACTTGAAACAAACCCCATACCAACCCATCTGGCCAGAGTGGTATAGTAGGTCAAGACCTTCCTTAAGGAGAGGCCTATGTCCAGCAATGGACTATGAAAGGTGTTGATGATGATGAATTGTAAATGTAATGTCAGGATAGATCACAGAGATTGATTTTTTACTTATTTTTATAGGTACAATTGCCTGAGAATGAAGTTACGTTAGCAGCATACACTATTCCTGATGAGAAGGCCACAATGAGTCATTACAACTATGCATGGACTTTAGTAGATCAGCCAAAAGGCGGTTTCACAGGTATCTATAAAACTATGTTGATTGTTAATTTCTCCATGCTTTACGAAAATATATTCTTGTAATTTGAACTAAATGTTTGTATGATCTGCTAGTATTTGTTTCGGAGTTTTGGTGTTTACTATGCATTATATGAGTATTCTATCAGTCAAACTAGTTTTCATAGTACAAGCTCTGCTTAGTTTAAAACTAGATGGCGTTGTGTGTCAGATATCCGAAAATATTTATTTTTTTATGATTAAGATTGCAAATTCGAACTGCAGTACTAACTTGAAACTATTTCAAACAAAAGCTTTTAGCTTAGTTGAAGGGGCAACAAAAGTACACAAGTACTTATATATTCTTTTATTACATGAAAGTATGTTTATATAGTCATTTATTAAAAACTAATTTTTACTATTAAAATGACAACTGTAATATTTACGTCCCGCCAGATGTTATTATCGCGCTGATGTTGATGTAACTTGGCAAAAATAGTACTAATAGTAAATAGACATGGAAGAGGAGGTTGCCTATACATTTGCCAAAGTCTTTTTTGATAATATTTGAATTTTTAAAAAGGTAACATGAATCAAAATGGTGCAAAGGTGACATTGACTGACCTAACGGAAGGCCAGTACAGTTTCAAAGTAACAGTGAACGGTACCAACTCATATGGTGAAGGATACGCCAATGTGACTGTGTTGCCACCTCAACGAATCAATACTCCACCTCAGGTCGTCATTACCCCACAGACACAGACTGTAAAGCTGCCTAATACTGTAGCTGTGCTAGACGGCAGTGCCAGTAAGGTATGTGTATATGACATGGCATCGATAAGTGTGAACTGTGTCTCAACAGCTAGAAGCATACTAAAATTACAGCTGCAACTAAAGTAATAAAAACTTTATAATATAAGGTGATAAAGATATCATGTTATATATGAAAGTTGTCAACTGTTTCTTTGGATTTCGAAGGCTATCACTATTTTTAACGAACTTTAATAGCATATAGCACAACATTTCAAGCTTAAAGTCTTAGCAAGAAATATTTTTTTTAGATGACAATTAAATGTTTCTTGCTTGCTTTTATTTGATTGTTTGGATTGCTTGGATTGTCAGTAGAATAGATACAATTAAAACTGAGTCGGGTTTTTTAAACCCACTTTCACATAAAAAAGGAGTCTCCTGTCTCCTATGTTCAGTTTTTGTTTTATGTAGGTATTTACTTATAATTTTGAATTTTTTTTGCTATATTTGTTGAACGTAAAAATAGTAATATTTATCGTGAATTCCTGTAGAATTATTCGTCACTTTTTATCAGAAATGCCTAATTAAAACACGTAGACATTATTTACAGGATGACGACGCTATCATATCATGGCACTGGGACTTAACCGTAGGTCCTCTGGGATACCAGCCACCATTACAAGATGGGCCTACCTTAGTACTTAAAGATCTCAAACAACCTGGCAACTATACTTTCAAACTGACAGTGGAAGATTCAGACCACGTGAAAAATTCGACAACAGCCAATATCACCGTACTAAACCATACAGATTATCCTCCAGAAGCTAATGCAGGTAGTCCTTCGCACTTGATTATTAATTTCTTTTATTTGCTGACTATTAAACTTTTACGTTTCATAATATATACACATGAGTACTAACGAAAAGGAATTACATACCTTTGAATTACCTGACTATTAGACTAGGTTGCACCGGCCGTGGTCACAGGCGGACTGAGTGTCTATTTTAGCACCAATGTGGCAAAACACCTCCTTTCAGAGTGTCTCCTATGTGAATTCCTATGCGAAAAATATGGTATTCTACATACATTTCATTTTATATATTCAGCGCCCTATTTTTTTTTGTTTATTACTTAAAAGGACAAACATAAAAATGTGATGTTTTTTGCAGGTCAGGACGTTATAATATATTTGCCTAACAATAACCTGACATTAAATGGCAGCCTTTCTACAGACGACCATGAAATCACTTCATGGGAGTGGACGAAATCAGCCGAAGACGAAAATAAGGCTGTTGATATGCAAAATACACACTCTCCTTATTTACAAGTACGTGTTTTAGTTATCACACAATAATAATAATTATAAGCCTTTTATTTAAAAATTTCGTGTGGTAACCCTTGCGGATTATGATCTCACTAAAGCCAAAGGTGAAGTTATAACCACACGGTGTTCCGTCAGAAGAGAGTCTATTACCGCGGACACTCTAACGAGAAAGCCACCGAGAATAATTATAAGTCTTTAAGACTATAATGTTATTTTTTAATATAGTAATACGAATATGTATTTATAATGTTTGACAATAACAGTCGTATTTGAAAGTCATATTTGTTTATTATTGCCGTACCGTGTAGATACATACAGAGAAATTGCATACACATTACCAGATAAACAGTGAAAGGCAAGGTGGTGTTCATGTAGTAAAAAATACTGTACTCGTACCTGTACGTACGTGTTACAATCATTACTTTTTTCGTTCTTGCAATTACACCTACAAATATATTAGACATTGAAGGAACAACTTTACAGACTATTTGTCTATATCTATATGTGTACCTCTCCCTTTCTTTCTCTAATTTTTATTAAAGGGTCGTGCTGATAGCTCAAGAGATTAGCGCGTTGAAACAAACAAATGAAGAAAAACCCTTTATCATGTTAGCCACTATATTAAATATGGACACCGATGAAGCAGTTATAATAACGCAGTTGTATCTGCTTAAATTAATATTGTTTACACACTGTGGCCTTTACGAAATATTTGCATTCAACGGTTTGTGCAATAAACTCTATAAATAACGTTTAATACGAAAACAAAATTTGTAATCATAGCCTTTAGTTCTTATCTACAATTATATCAATCTGGCCCTCGATAGTACATCATAGTTTCCTTCTTTATTAACCTTATCGCTAACGCATACATTTATTTTTCATACTTCATACAGTAACTATAATCTGGGTCATTTTAAGTCGACTACGTGTAAAACAGCAATATCTTGCGTACTCATTTAAAAAAAATACAAAAATGAGAATTTATGTCTTAGATGGAAGTCTCATTAGAAGCTTAAAAGAGTTGATATTTCATTACCTAATTAGATACTTTTTACTACAAGGCTAAAACTGTCTAATGTATAATTAATAATATACCTCTTTATTGTACACCAAATATAATACAATAAACGTTATACCGGGTCACTTGCCGTCTTTTCACTTTCTCACTATAAAGCGCTTTACATATTATATTCAAAATTTAATCTGAATAAGTATTACTAAATGTTTCAGCTGTCAAACCTGTCGGAAGGTGTATACACGTTCGTGCTAAAAGTGACAGACTCTTCTGGTCAGTCGTCCACAGCGGACGTGCATGTTTTCGTTAAACCGCCAACCAACACACCTCCTGTGGCCAATGCTGGACCGGATGAAGTGAGTAACGACAGATAATTAATCCCTTTTCAGTGCAACGAGGAATTCCAATATTATAGGATAGATTGAGTGAAATCCGATGTTGCTTAAATTTAAATAAACTTAAAATAATATGCTAAATGTTTAGTATCGATTGCAAATGATATTATTACAACTAGTTTCTAGCAGTTTTATGCTAATCTTATGTGGTAAATATATAGTTGAGTGAATTTATTAATTAAGGATATGTACTTCAAATTATTTTGACACAGCTTACGTATGGTAATGTACATCGAATACTTCGAAATCAGAGCATGACAATTGGTACAGTTACTAACAACTAAATATTAATATTGTAAATATGTAACTTGGTGTTGTGGGAAAATGTGCATGAATTATGTTTAGAGACAACACATACGGATGGTGGTAAAAATATTGGTATGCATCAGATTATTATGGAATGGATTCAATGAAACGTTGCATATCCTAATATTATTATTATATTAGTAATTGAAATTAAAGTTAAAGGAAGATCTCATGTATGTAACTAGGTAATGCCTAATAATTAATAGGTTACTCTTGAGGCTCGAGGGTCAGGCTTTTAGTCGGTTTTGATGCACACTTACCGCCTCTCGTTTTGCTCCTGTAAAGTGAAGGATCTTAGACATCTCTTTATAAATAACAGTAATAGTTATTTAGAAAGCCTAAGAAGAATAATGTTAACATCTACGGTTTTCAAATTTGTGTTCACTTCCACATACAACACATAGATACTTCAATGTAATACAACTAAGAATAAATTACTAATTATTAATTAAATAAATAAGAGTTTTCGCGCGCTATATATGTGAAATATTCCAACAGTAACCATTATGTTGCGACTCGCCAGGCATGATCACCTCGCACCGTCGACGGTTCCTCCCTTTGTTTTGGACATAACGCTTTTTTCTCCACAAATTCTATTTAGCATTGTTCTTTGAGTCCTTCCTGCGACAATCAATTTAATTCAAAGATGAACTGATTGAAGTGTATCTTCTGCATCAAATCAATTTAAACAATTTAATGCGTGTAATATATTCATCATAATATCATCATATTAGCAATTGTTTCTAGAATTGTTTCTACCGCATAGTAACAAACTGATCATACATGGGCCACTATTACTTGCAACAGAAAGTTCTGTATGCACACCAACATTATCTAAATTAGTATGATTTTCAAAAGAAGTGATTTAAAGAAATCTAAGTGTTATTTCAAGGCCAATTAGATCCCTAATTACATACATGAAATGATCCTTGATTCGTTGTAATATAAAACTGGAATTAACTCTCGCACTTTTGCATTATCTATACTGAGGGATTGTCCATTTTAATATATAATTACAGTTCATATCGCTACCGCAAACATGGATCATCTTGAATGGTTCAGCATCGCACGATGACCATAGAATAGTTGCGTACACCTGGCGTTGCCTGTCTGGTCCCACTAACTCTAACATAATCAATTTTAACGAGTCTGTCGCCAACGCAACGGCCCTTACTAAGGGTCAGTATGTGTTCTCCTTGACTGTCCTCGATGATAATGGTAACTCTGCGTCTGATAACGTCACCATCACCGTTACACAAAGTAAGTGTCCATATAATACTATTGCTTCATTAGAGATCAGCTCGCTTAAAGTTATTCTTGCTCTATTATGGACTTACTACATATTGCTTTAATTTTTAGTAGAATACAGCGTATTTTCTTTCTAAGGCGACATTTCTTGACTTAAAGTTTCCTAACCAGGACCCTTGTTTTCACAGACGGCAAAAAAAAAGAGAATTCACTCTTAGTGTTAGGTGTTATGCTAATGGAAATAAATATAAATCGGAGGAAACATATGAACGACAAATTTAAGTAAAGCAGTTTAGGTCGCCTAAATTAGTTTTGCTAAATCTCATGTAAATACTAGTGTTAATATAACATTTTATAAACAAAAAGCACAGCCAATGACTAATTATTAGGTAAACTACAATCAAAAATATGCATAAAAAGGTTTTTCTTTTAGTAAATACTCCTGTAAATGTTTATTTTTTGCATGGGTGTTCACTTTGTTAATTTTCTTACTAATTGTAATATGACAGAGTAATAAAATAATTATAAACTAAAAAATATTAGTATTAGAATAAACCGGGAAATAGAACTCACGCAATACATGCATATGTAATGCATAAGTGTTCAATGCATAAGACTTTTCTAAAAGCTATACTTTTTACTATAAATAATTGTACTACTAAAAATTCTAATCAGATTGAGAATATATAACACTAAACCAAACTTATCACATTCACAATGCGAATGAGATTCAAATAGCGACCCAACCACTCTCCACATCACCGTTTCTGTATATAATAATTGTTGTGTAGTCAAATATTTTATATACTGTTTCGACTTTTCTCAATACATTCCTTTTGTTTTTCTCTCTGTTCATTAACAATTAATAATTGATTACTTAATTCAAAATTGTTTGTCAAAAGGAGAAAAACTAAATACGCTTCCAATGTTGGTGATCAAAAATCTGTATTAATAATGTAAGATTCTAATGCACGAGCTATTACTTGGAATCCTCGAAATAACCCTACTAACAATGTCCTGCTTTTTACTTCTAAACTGCTTTTCCCATTTAATATATTCTCAATTTTCCCAAAGTGCTCAGATGAAGGTACGTACAAAATAGGCTTACTACCGAAAATAGGTATTATGGAAGTGGAACGAAAAACTTGTGTTTTTGGTTCCACTTGGGTCCACGCACATAAGGAATTCAGGGATACAGGCATGAATGTGTGACCTACATTTAAATGTTAAAACATTCTTCTTACTATATTATCTATCAACAGATAAAAACAGCCCGCCTAAAGCGGACGCTGGGGGCGACCAAGTGCTAACTCTACCTATGTCGGTCTTAATATTAAATGGATCTAAGTCATCCGATGACTTCCGCATCGTGACATGGAAATGGACGAGGTCAGGAACGGGCCTTGCTGCTGGACATGTTATACTTCATTCTGACACAAAACCAGTACTTTTGGTTAGTTTACGCTACTTACTTTAGTATTTATTCAATTTATTTAGGTCCAAGTTTCTACTTAAAAAACATCTCTATAAATCCACTAGGTAATTTATGGGCTGCATATATTTCAAACCATACCGTTTTATTAGCATAAACATTACGAGAATACTATATTAACAGCATTCATGTAAACTTTCAAAGTTTTCATTCAACAGCCAAGGTCTGTAAAAGCTATAAAATATTGATGTTTTATTCATTTTCATACAAAAGTTAAACGTTTTTTATCGTCTTTAATGCCATAGTTTATAATTATTTCTTGGAATAAGTAACATCAAATACTATTTGAACAATACACCTTTCGAATCTATCCCAATTTCCGAAGTTTGTTTCTGTCAATTAGCCAATAAATTATTTAATAATTAAATTTGGAAAACAAAATACTCCACTCAAATTTTAGTACATTTTAAAATAGCGCAAGAACTGACTTGAAATAAATAAATTAAATGTGACAGACGAGTATATCTAAATAGAAATGAAAAAAGTATATGAATGTAAAAGCAGACACTTTATAAAAAAAAACCTATTAACGACAATTTACAGCTAACAAATATTGAAGTCGGACGGTATGTCTTCGAGCTAACCGTGATAGACGATCAGGGCGAATCTGATCGAGACACAGTGAGCGTACAAATCAAACCGGATCCCTTAGAAATGAATCTTTTGGAATTGACTCTCAACATGCCCGTAACAACGTTCACGCAAGGACAACTGGATTCTCTTGTACAAAAAATTACCTTACTACTTAAAGAAGACATCAGGATGAATGTGACCGAAGTCCGTGGACAGTTGGACACGGGGAATACACAATTGGTTTTCTTTTTATCAGAGCAGGTAATTATCTTTATTGTGTATAGTATAATTTATTAAATGGTCAATAGTTTAGTGAGGGAGTACTAGAAGTGCTAAACAAGCCTAAATAGTCTAGTGAGTTCCATCTGGATGATAGCGTGATGATTGAGAGGCCTGTATGAATTTAATTTTAATTTATTTTCATTTTATATATATATATATTTATATATGTATTTGCATTTTGTATTTGTACTGAATTGTAAATAGATTCCATATTATTATGATTTTTATAATGCGAAACATATTTTAAGAAAATATTCCAAAATATTATAGAGAAGAAAAGAATAATCTTCTTTCTATAGTATTCCGTCTAAGCGAATAGGCAACTACTTGAATTTGGTTTAAACTTGGGTATCGTGATCATATTTGCTTAAGTCAAAAATGAATCTTACAATACAGAAATTCTGGAGATACTCAAGTTTATCAAGTCATTTAGATAGCTGAGGTCAACGTTGCTGAGGGTAGCTAAAAAATGAATTTATTTGTAATAATAGTAGAGATTTATGTGTTCTCTTTGAGTGTAGTTGAAAAATCCATAGAAGCGTTTTGTTATATATGTATGATTCACAGCCTTTTTTTAGAAATCGCGATACTGATAAAATGAGATACGGACTACTCTGAATTGAGTGTATTGAATTTAAACATACAAGTTTAAATTCTGTAAAAGTGTACGTTCTTACACTGATCATATCTTAATTAATAGCATTATGATTGTATAATAGACGGTACTCACACCAGAGTTATAGGATAAGTCACACAAAATATAAATATTGATAGATAAAAATGATATAACTGATAACGATACATGCAAGCCACCTCAACTGACAGGCGAATGTGACTTGAAATATCATTAAAACAAGTTACTGGCACAAAGTTCATCATGATAGCAGATACGTATAACGTGACTCGTACATTATGTAATACTCATTATCATTTCACGGACATACCAATTTTACAAATTCACGTTATGCTTACTTAATAAAATAAAAGCAAATTTTTCAATCCTTATCTTGCTGTTACTTCTCTCTCTTGTGTTGCGTAAAGTCATCGTACCTCGGTCTGGAAATAATAGTTGTTTGGATACTTATTAATGCTGGGCTTTCGACAATCTGTTTTATGTTCTTATAGCTTAATTTATTATTTTAAACTATTTATTTATACTTCCTGCAAATCCATTGCCTAAGGCGGACTTAATGCCATAGGCGTTTTCTTCCAGTCAACCTTGGGGTGATGCAGAGTTGTGTGTGTGGCAGGTGTATAATGAGATGAATTATGTTAAATTGTAGTCAGTTGCAAGATGTTATACTACATAGATATACTGGGTATACATATATAGATGTAAATATAATTTATACGTACTCTATAATACTATTAATATAAAAAACATAAACATACACACACATCCATACATATATGCCTGCAATGATGAAGACACGAGGGGTTATTCTGATGACATCGTCAACAAGCCTCCATAGAGCTTGCGTACTCTGATCTTAAAGGTTGTTCGGTTGGTTGACGTCCTGATCTCTAGGGGAAGGGCGTTCCAAAGATTTACCGCTTGGAAAGTGGAGGAAGAAAGTACGATACGAGAGTTATATAAAGGACGAAAAAAGAGGAAATTATCAGCGAAGCGAAGGCTTCTGTCATGGTTAGAGCAGCGATATTGCAGTTGGGATGTTAAGTAAGTATGTGAGTCGAGAAGGGAGTGCAAAATAGTCAGCGCCCGCAAACTGCGGTGCTGCCTTATAGGTAACCATGACATTTGCCTGCGATCAGCGGATACATGATCTTACTTTTACAGAATATGCACCGAATGCAATTGTTGAAACGTCGGTCTAATTTATTGAGTAGATCTGCATTCAGGTCAGCACCAGCATCGTCTTTGTTTTCACTGGGAGAAAAAATTTCAGGCGGTAAAGTCCTCTCAAAATATTCGTTACTGACGCTAGTTACCTGAGTTTGCCAATTTAGGGTTGGGTCTATGTGCAGACCAAGAACCTTGACTGATTAGCTAATGGGCAACACAGTTCCATCAAAAATAATATCTGCGTTGGCGTAGTATCAATTCTACCCGTCATTCTAGGACTTCCTATAAAGATTGCCTAACATTTGGCTGTGTTCTATGGTGTCTAGGTCGCTGATTTTGTTTATCGCTTCGTCTATATTTTCTACTCTCGCATACAATTTACTGTTACCGGTCAGCACAGTAGGTCGTATTATCGTTTGGCTTAAAGCGCGGTGACTGTGAACAGGGCAAGGCAGTGGAGGGCATCCGCGCCGTGGGGCTGGTGCGAGGCGCGTCGGGCGCGTGGGCGGCGTGGGGCGGCGCGCGCCTGCGCTCGCTGCGCTGCCTCAGCAAGTGCTCGGGCCGCGGCGTGTGCGATCACGCCACCCGCACCTGCCGCTGCGACGCCTTCTGGATGCAGAGCCTGTTCTCGCAGCTCGACCCCGACGCCATGCCCGATTGCGGTAAATACTTTACTCGCACTTTCGCAACAATATCAAATCACCAGAAAATACTCGAATCTAAAGTTTATAGAAACCATTTTTTTGTGTGGTGACGGTCCGTGTGGTGTCGGATTAAGAATACAAAGTGTCACCACCCCTATTCATTCCGTGGGTGTCGTTAGAGCCGACTAAGGGAGAAAACTACGCAGAACAACAGCACTGCAGAGAGAAGGAAAACTTGACCCAAACCTTATACTAACCCGTCTGGCCAGCGTGGTATAGTAGGCCAAAACCTCCTTTCTAAGGAGAGGCTTATGTCCAACAGTGGACTGTTAAAGACTGTTAATGATGATTTTTTTTTCTTGTTTTGTTTTTGTTCAATCTTTAGTAAATAAAGTCATCATAAAATCATTTGCAGTTATCGGTAATCTTTAATGTAATTAAAATACTCTAAACAATTTATTATCACAATACGAGTATAATCATAAATCACATAAACTGATAGCTTACTTATCTGAAGTAACTATTCACATACATGTTTCACGAGTCTCAGGTTCATCGTATTGGTAACTAAAACAGAACATGATATAATTATTTACTTCACTTTCGTTTAGTTCGGTTTTCCGCATACTTTCGTACGCCAAATGATAAAAACTGGAATCACTATTGAGAATTTGAGAAAAAGGACAATAAGGCTTTATATTCGAAATCACAAACTTCTAAACTAAAGTGCTATCGAAGATAGTGAGAAAACTATTTTTCTCATTGATTATTATTTGTATATTGTAAATATATATATTTAGTTTATTTCTATTAAGCTTTCTTTTGTATTCTAAAATTGATAGTAGCTATTAAAAAATAACAAGGGTACATCGCAAAAAAAAGGAGAAAGCATTATTCAACTGTTTCGTCTTTAGTTTACCTGTTTACACAGTGTTACTGACAACAATTTTTTCAGGACAATATGGGTTCTCAACTTCGACGATACCATAACATAATTCGTTAACTCCTTTCCTATTTAAAAAGAAACACAGTAGATTACCGTTTTGAAGTCGTTACCTTCGTCCAATGCCTGTTTTATCGTAATGATGTAGTTTGATCTAAATATACTTTGTGTCGTCGCGTCCCGGCCCAGACTGGTCGATAGTGTACGCGAGCCTGGGCGGCGCGGCGGCGCTGTGCGTGGTGTGCGCGTGCTGCTGGGCGAGCGCGCGTGCGCTGCGCCGCGCCTGCGCCCCGCGCAAGCCGCGCGCGCGCCCCAAGTACCGCCTGCTGCCGCTCGCCGACCACGAGGAGAAGCCTTGTGAGTTACACGAGCCTACGTACTTTCCCTATCGTCGCGTGTATATCTGTAACGAGGAGCACCTACGAGTAACGAGACTTCACTTATAATGACGAAAAATCTGCCTGCCATTGTGCGATATCCTCTATACAGACAAAATTATTAATATAAACATAATTTAAAATAGTTTTAATATTACAAATTAACAGCCATATATGACCCCAACTCAAATGCCAGAATATGTCAAAAAAAAAAGCTCACTTTAACTCAATATGGGAAATTTAAGTCCCTTACACCTAGTGCATTAAAAGCGACAACTGTCCCAGCGACGGAATAAATCGTAATCAATCGATTCATTATTAACATCTTCCTAATGTAAATAACACTATGAAGGTGTAAATGACTCATTTCGAAGTCGACAAACTTGTATATTTATTTATTTTCATTATTCACCAAGGTCAGTTGTTGCAGGCACATTACATATTTTCAGAACAATAAATACTATTTTGTCGGCATTTACCTACAATTATGGTCCTGTTATCTAACATTTTTAAATAATCAGCACTGGATTACTAACACTTTCTCCACGTACAGTTACAAGCAAAGACGTGTCAGAAACAGAGACGGACTCTGACGTGTTATACGAAACCAAAAGCAAGACGACTACGTTCGCGACGCGTGCTATGAACGGCGAAGCGTCGCAAGGCAACGGATGGAAGAAAAACGGACACTATAAGAGTTCACGCAAAGTGAAAACGTAGCTCATTGCGGTACGGCTTAGCTGCCTGCGGATACAGTCCACACTAGGTAAATATAACTTCATTAGTTAATGTAATTGTATTTACTTGTAGGATTAAATTTATTGTTATGACAGCTTATAAGAAAAATATTATTCGTATACAAGATCATTTGCGTGCAATGTAAAATTAAAATCTTTCTAGTTACAAAAAGAGTAGGTTTTATTTATGAACTTAAAAACTGTTAACATTTTTCCTATTTTAATTTGAAACGATCAAAGTATTTATGGAATATTTATGATCAATAGTTCTGGCAAAGCTTAAGCATGTTTAAATGACCACTTACTTACCTATTAGTCTGTCGTTAGCTTTCGCGATAAAATGTCGCTACAATTTTAAGCATTTTTTTAAATTTTGTACAAACGTTTGTAGATTAAAAATGTTAGTCTCATTTGAGCCCTTATTTATTAAACAAATTGCACTTTTAGCTTCAAGAGTAAAAAATATATTTCTAAACTAATAAAAAAGATACTAGAATTAATAATAATTCCAACGCATCTAGACAAAATGTAAAATAGATAAATATATTTTAAATGTTGAAATGTGTCTTTACTTAATTATTTTAGACAAACATCGCCAAGACTTGCAACTTATGCCTGGGCAACAGCCTAGGCACAAGTTTCATATCTCTGTCAGGGACATAAGAATATATTGTAGGCAATGTAAAACCCACTTCTTCCCAGCTAGTTACTGAACTGTTGAACTTCTCAAGTATATTTAAACTTTAATATTAGTTATTGAACAATGGCTATGAGTAATTAATATAATTATTGATGTATACATAGTAGCTATAGAACAGAGTAACTGTAAGTTTTTTACTTATAAACTTTACATAAGTAGAGATAGGGAATAATTTCTGAGTTTATTAAATAACATCCCTTGATATGGGCAATGTTAAAAGACTGTAAGCATTTCAAGCACAAAATTATGTACTACATACAGTACTTACAGATTATGGAGACTAATGTATTGTAACAGTCAATGTGGAAAGCACCTGGCCGACCTAATGACAAGCGGTTTCCTGTACCTACGTATATTAGACTTTACTATTGCAGTTTTACTGTTTTTTTTTCTGTCGGGTGTACATTCCCTCCCACACTTCCCAGAATATTTCTCTTTCAACCAAGATAAGCCATGCCTTATCACTTGTAACAAAATCAATTTTATTGACAATCTGAAGAACCACTTGGAATAAAAACCTTAATGTTATTATTTTTGTTGTTTGACTATAATGTTGTTGTTGATGTCCGTTCCTTAATGACGTTCTCCAATCATAGGACTATAGTCCATTCACGTTAACAAAATAGTGACGCATCGATCAAGTCCCGCCGCCTGAACAATTAAGTTTCAAGAAATTCGTCGAACCTAATTGCGTACCCGGCGTCTGCGGTTTACTGCCGTCTTATTCCCGTTTCCTATCCGAAACTATACATATTACGGTATGCTGTACATTAGGTCCCTGGCGCTATCCGTTTTCTCTGAATTGGCCTTTTTTTATGTCGCCTGAAAATTATAACATTCCCAAGGCCATAAAAGAAGTCATCCAAAACCTTTAGCATTGCATTATGCATCTTCTGTGGGACGGAATAGTACTAGTTCTCTCCATTTCACGAAAATAAAATCTTTGGCATGCATCACCACCTCGTAGAACACTATCTCGTACGTACCACGTACTCACTTGGACCATGGACATATAACCGTAGTCCATTTTCTTCATAGATGTAATAGACATTATATTCAATTATAACATATTTATTTGTGAAATCGATCCACTAAAACGTCTCTGATATTTATTTTTGGTACATAAATTTATTATAAGTACATATATAGCTTAGGATAGCGTTTTTGTAAACTAAAGTAGGAATGTATTAACAGAAAATGTAAAAAAGATTATCTTAAATAAGTCATATGGAAGTCTTATCTTTTAGTTCGTTACATACAAAACTTGGTCGTTTTTCGGTTTGATAATAATGTATTTACGTGTATTTACAGATTCTGTTATATATTATTACTAATTTCCTATTAAAATTATATTTCTCTTTTATAATTTATATGTAATTAATATTATAATTTAAATTTTATCATATTTTAAAATACGTTATAAATGTTTTATTAGAAGACAAAAATATTATTGATATCTTTAAAAAAATGTCGCTATACGAACACAGTAAAAGTAACCAGTTTTAAGAAAATAAGAATAATTAAATAATCTAGTCGTGTTAAGTGATAATATTGTAAGTTTAGCACTATTATTAAGTAATGTGTATGTATCATAATTTACTGTGATTTCGAAGAGTATTTTATAATTGGATTGTACTTAAGTTGTACGTAAATAAAGTCTCAATTATGCTTTCAATTTATGTATCTCTTCTTTCCCTTATACTCCAAACCGGTGTTGTTGGGTCTACTACCTACTGTTTCAATTGTTTACGTTTTGACACATCGAACTTCGAATCATGAACTGATTCTCGAACGTGCAACATTTTAATTTTAAATCTTACGGGTCTACGATCTCTGTGTTTAGGTCTAAATTCTTTACAATAAGTCCGTATAGTTTCTTAGTAACGGTTTTTTTTTTGACTTTCGGTTTTACCTTGCTAATCTTATAAGATCACATAGATCGATTATGAAAAAAATTGCCATTAGATACTTGTGATTTTCAATTGGCCTGTGCATACGTCGACTTCACTTCAATCGTACACGTCTTATATAATAAAAAAAAACACTGGGCTACTTACCCACTACATCACTTTCTCTATCTATTGCAGACCTTTTGGTAACATAAGTCATCATTAGAAGTACTAGCTTCATAGATTGTAGCATTGTACCTATTCAGTTTGCGTAGATAGTTCAAAAGACAGGCACTATCTCAGATCATATTAACAAGGTTGTTTGTATGATCTGCGGGCACTATATACTACTACTAATGTCGTAAAATTCTAACCCTCACCTTCATTACCTAGAATGTTTTCGAACCATTTAGCTTCTCATCTTTGTTCTTTTCAGAATATGTGCTCTTCATACTTTCGCTCCCAAGTCATAAGACCTCTCGATCTTTGTTTTTTGGCGCACTTTTAGTTTAAACACAATAAACATTGATCCCTCGTTGGTTTAAGAACATCCAAATTGTGTACAAAACATGTTTCAGTACACGTTTTACGGATACGGAAGATTTAGATCTAACGCTTCTACGGTTTCTAGATGCAGTTTATACATTTCAGAGATGGCTGTATAAATACTTTTTAGATAAGTAAAGTCATTTCACTGTGTCAAATGATTCGATCCAAATCAAGCAAAGTATGACTAAAAACAATAGTCAATTAATAATCTTCATTAATTTTGTTTGTCTTATACATATAATAGATTTTTTTGCGTATTTAGGTGTACGCTGCCAAACTTCTTTGTGGCACATTGAGGTTGCATTGATAACGTATGAGGAACAAAACTGATCCGAGAAATATGTAGATGAAAACAATTTGAGAAGCGGGTTGTTTACTGTGTCAAAATTTGAGCTCAATGGGTTCAGAACATTTTGAGTTTTTGAAGCGTACACAAACCTACATACTATTTTTATGGAGATATATTTTTCATAAAGATTTATGTATACAAAAAAAAAATATTGCCTACTATAAATTAGCTATTCGTATAGAACCAAAAGTTCGAAAATTTTAATTGGTAAATTTATAGATGTTTTAACATTTAAATTTCAATAGCCAGCAGCAAGTAAGTCTTTAAATTATGCAGATCAGAACTAGGCCAGCCGAGGTCATGGTTCCTAGAAACTACTTGATGATTTTAAGCCAATTATAAGTGCCTGCAGTGAGCCGACTATATGTATACTATATAATCATAGATTATAACTATCAAAATGTGATTTGTTTTTTATGATTCTTATAAAGTGTGTAAATTAATAAGAAAAATAAAATAGTTTCTTGTTTCGTTCAAAAACACTTATGCTTGTGCTGTGGTGCATATCTGATTGGTAAATTCGTCGCGGTGACACCTCGCCATAAACTATATTGAGTATTTCTTTTAATACAAAAATGACTCACTAATGTAACGTGTGTGTGTGTGTGTGTGTAAAAATTAGTATACGCTTCCAAAACATTAGTAAGAGTTGTAGTAGTATAAAACATAAGAAGTCTCATAAATATTAACAATATTTCCAGAAAAAACAAGTGACTAATAAACAAGTAAAAAATATAAATAGGCTCACTAAATAAACACGAAGAACTTTGCAATAAACACATTAATAATTATCGGTGCCGGCAATTAGTAGCTTAACATAACTAGTATAAAGTCAATTGCTAAAGCCTCTACCTACAGCTGCAACAGAGAACAGACGGTCAATTCTAGTCCGATCAAAATTCAGTTCCGATCTACTTTCGATGGCACAAGACGTGTCGGTGTGTAATACACAAACTTAATAAGACTGAAAAAAATAAGAGTATTCCAGTCAGAACAAAAATCGAGGGGTCTTTTAGTACTTTACCCAGAGCATAAACCTGTCTACAATCAACAATTACAGAAAATGGAAAGTCGTCCTATGCATGATGTATACCCATACGAAAAGGGTTTTGGAAGCACAAAATACATGTATGAATAAAATTCTAAGCAGGTTTTGCTGAAATGCTTGCGGTTATTATTGAAATAAGGCTAGAAGTAAATAGTATGTTAAATTCCAGTCATTTATCTAGTGTACTTACTTTTGCCCCACCCCTTAGTAAATGCTGGGTTAAACGGAATCGTCTTACAGCAGAAAGAGCATCTAAAGTAACGTTTATTTCATAGAATTGGAATATAATAAATAAAAATATATTTAATGAATGCATAAGCACCGATGACCAGATCGGTGGTACAACAGAACTGACGTTAATAAAGGTAAGGTCGACTCATCATCTCCATATCAAAACATGTCAGCCACAACATGAGAATATGAACTATTATTAAAATTCGTAGTTTGT